TTTGCAACCAGTAGTTTTCTAAACCTTTCTTATTAATTACATTAGCTTATCTAAATATCCTTTTGATTTTTTCCTATAAAATTGTATCCTCATCTGAGTGTGTTAGTGCACACTTATAATATCATCATTCAGGAAAGTGAGGCAGAAGGATCACCAATCTGAGGCCAACCTGGGCTACAATGAAACTTTGTCTCAAAAAAAAAAAATCCTCTCCGGAAGGGCTATTTGATTTGTTTCCTGTCCTGTGCTTTCCTTGTCTCATTGCATTGTTTGTGCTCAAAAATAACAGTCTGCAGTGATGGTGATAACCCACACCCTTGATGCTTCTTCCTTTTGAAGTTGATCTTGCAATACTAGAGATATTCTAGGGCATTTTATGGCTGTTCTTCCACCTGTTGAACAAAATTCATTTATCTTCCTTATAACTTTGTTTCTTTTCTTGATTCCTTCTTCTTCTGTTTTGCAGTGCTAAGGATTGAAAGCTCTACCACTGAGCTACATCCACAGCCCAGTTTCATAAACTTTTATTTTAAAATAGCATCTACTTAGGTTGCCCATGCTGACCTGAAATTACTCTGTAACTCAAGCAAGCCTTGAATATGCAATCCTCCTGCCTCAGACTTTGGAGTAGTTGGGATTTCAAGCAGGCAGTACCCAGCACTTAAATTACCTTATGTTCCTATTTAGGAAAGACTTTTTTCATCACGAGTTGTCAGTGAAGTTTACTGAGACTTTCCTACATCTTTTATGATGAACACATCATTTTTTTCTTGAATTTGTTAATGCGATAAGATACACAAATTATGTTCCAAAATTAAATCTAATCTTACATATCATAGAGTAACACAAACTGAGTAATTTAATTTCTTCTGAATTAATGGGTCTAGTTTGCTAACATCATGTTTATAATTTTTATTCTGTGCTCATGAATTAGACTTCCTTCCATTTTTCTCTCTTAAATACCTTAGTAAGAGTGTCAAGACTGAGATGCCTTCATGAGGTGAGGCACAGCACCTTTTCTTAAGTTGGTGAGTTTATAGGTGGTCAACACTATTTGGTCTTTATCAAGTTGGGAGCACTCAATGGCAAAGCAATCTGTGTACCTGCTTTCTCTCTTATTTCTCTTGATTAATAGTTTTAATAGTTACAAAGTATATTAGCTAGGAATTGGTGGAAAGCACAATTCTCTGTGACAATCCATTCACCAGAATCATGAGAAAGATCAAGAGGAAAACAATAGAGAAGGAAAGACAGCCAATATTTTGGTATATTGTTTAGTTGTTTTTAAGTGCTTCTCCTTGGCTGGTTCTACAAAATAAACCCCAGGCAGCTGTAAAATCACATCATGTGGGCTGGGCCGATGGCTCAGAAGTTCAGAGCACCCAAATGTAGTTACTAGCACCATTTTGGGTGCCTCATAAATACCTGTAACTTCGGCTCCAGGGAATCCAATGACCTCTTCTGGCCTCCATGGGCATCTGCACACATGAAGCATATACTCACGCAAACATACATAAACATAAAATTAAATGATTTTTAAAGTAACTTCATATAATTACCTCAATAAACTCAGTCAACATTCTTTAAAAATAATTTGTGATTTAAAAATCTCAGAGCAAACTAGAAATAAAAGGAACTTTTCCCAAAGGTGATACAGATCATCTACAAATTTCTAAGTCTAATTCTACACGTAGTGGTGAAACAAATCTTCCTACAATGTAGAAAATATGCATCTCTTCTATTCAGTATCTGACCTGAGTCTCAGGGCAGGAAGACAAAGAAACAAATAAAAACCATCAAATTTAGAAAATGAGAAGTAAAACAGAGTTTATTTGCAAATAATCTTAGTGTATGCTTAGAAAATCCTAAGTATTCTAAAAAGTCGAGTACAGAAATCAGTAAGTCACTATAGGTCAATAACAAAGTCGATGCATAAAAATCTTAATTTGATTCTACTCATTCTCAGAAATAGTAATTTTAAAATGAAATATAAAACTAATGCTCTGTATAACATCATTAAAATGTAAAATATTCAGGAATAATAAGTTTTTTAATACTCTAAATTACAAAAATATTATAAAGTTTTTAAAGTACAGGAAAAATACTGAGGTAAAAAGGCATTACACCATATTTGATGTTTAAAGTGAAGAAATCATGACAGTACCTATTTAAAAGGCAGTCATGCACAGGCCCTTGTTCATTATGTAATAATTACTGAAGAGTAACCTGGGGCTGGAACAGTCACTTGCAGAGGGAATCTCTTTATTTGGAAATATGTTTCCAGGTGCTCACTTAATGTGCACTCCGTTAGGCTTGAGTATGCACACCCTATGCATCTGAGAAGCCCATTTTGTATCTGTTCCTACTGTCAAGGGAGCCAGATCTTTCTCAGACAGAAAGAACACTGATTACAGGCTGTAGAGGAGACTCAGTGGCCAAGAGAACCCAACACACTGGAGGCTGAGATGACAGGGCTGGAGTTACTGCAGCGCTCTCCCTCCTTTTGAAAGGCCTGCTACTGGAGCTTGATGGGTGTTGTTACCAGTTCTCATGAACTTCCAGTCACCTACTCTGTCTCTCCTTGTAGTTCACAGCCTGACCACCGATGGGACAGTAAATTAATACCAGTTCTCCCCAGTAAGATCTAGCATTCCAATCCAATGCTGTCAATTATCCCAGAAAGATATGTTTGGTACAAATTAGCAATCTGGTTCTAAAATATATAAAATATATGTGGAAGGCTGAGGGACCTAGAAGAGCAGAACGCAGCCCATCACTCTGTTCTTTAAAGTATCTTTTGGACATTTTTTTTCTTTTACTCTTTTTTTGCATTTTTAATTGATTTTTTATGAATCATAGGACACCCCCCATAGCCCACCCACCAATTTTCATGCATTTTGTCATATGTTAAGGCCTATCAAGCCAAGTTTCTGTCCTCAAATGTCCTTCTGTGTGAGTCCATCCACTGAAGCCTGGTCATCCTCTCTGGCATCACTCCCTTAAAGAAAATTGATTCTCCCTTCCCCAGTGGTCATCGGTTACCAATAGTTTCTCTTATTCTTTAGGCCAGTTGTGGTTTTCTGGGTTAATCGCCATCTGTTGCATGAGGAAGCTTCACTGATGAGAGTTGAGCAATGCACAATATTCTTTCTTCCTCTTGCTGCTCTATGTTCTCTGAGCCTCAGGTATAGAGGTTGCATTGTGGATATATCACTTAGGGCTGGGTTTCTCACAAACACTTATTCTCTGCATTATAGCTCTCCAATAGTCTCCATCTGTTGCAAGAAGAAACATTTTTGATGAGTAGTGGGAGGTATACTTGTCTGTACATATAAGAAGACATATTAGAATACACTGAGCTCTAAATCCTTAGATGTGAGTATATATCCTGATGTAACTGATGTAACTGCAGGAGCCAGAAAAATGGAAAAGAACTACTGGGGGAAAGGGGAAGAAGAGCTCTAGAGAGGGGACTAGTAGGAGATAGGTGTTATCTGGGGGAAATGGGGAAAACGGGGGCACTATAATTGGGGAGGAAGGAGAAGAATTATACAGGGGGACAAAGAAGATAAATAAATGACATTTAGAGGTTGTAAAAAAAAAACATAAGGAAACGTATTAGTTCAAAAGCCTATTGAAAAATACAAAATATATAGGACTGTTTATGTATAGCTGAAGGCTATATAAACAAAATAGTGCCAGACAGGAGAAGCTCTCCTTTGAGTTGTTCGTCAGGGTAGTCTAAGAGACTCCCAAAATAATACAAGCTATTTCCACAGCCCTTGATTACCTCCCAGAATTTGGAGGTAAGACCCTATTGCTGAAGAACGGACATACTTTGGAAACAAACTTGGAGAAATCAAGCCTTGAAGACAAGCTCGCATAGTATCAGAAGATGCTGTGGAAGCTTCCACGGTAGAAAAACAGTCAGTGGTCTTACCCAGCTTTACAGCCTAATAAACAACAAAGACTGACCTAGCAAACCATTGGTATTTGTACAGTAGTGACACTTTTATCTTGAGGGTAATCAACAGCTGTCTATTTGGACTTTAGGTCTGCTAAATGGACAAGAACTCATCATCTGCGGCATTGTAAACATAGCCAAATACCCATGGCTGGGGAGGTCATAAATCTTAGAGAAAAGCTTACCTTTGTCACATCCCTAGATAAATATAATTTTTTACTGTTAGACCTTCTTACTCAATAATTCATGTTTCTAAATGTATCTGTTGTTTGTCTTCTATTTCTGGTAATCTACGCAGAATCTTCTGCTTTATATCTCCCAGATCATTAATTACCTTATTAGCAAACCAATTATATTCTTAATTATATATTCTAATTTTTTAGTTTAAAATATTATGATATATCACTTTAGTACTTAGGGGTTCAATTTGGTCCCTTTGTTCAATATAACTTGGAATCTTCTTGATAATTTTAAGTCTTTTTTTATGACTCATATACCAGTATCCTCATTTATTTTATTGAATATTTTGAGCATATGGTCTGTCTTATAGTGTCAGAATTCTAAGGCTTTGCATGCCAAGTTCAGATGTCAGTTTATTTGCTGGCTTTCCTACAATACCTTTTTTTCTCATGAATTTTAGGTTCTTGGCCTATATATCTGGGAACTTTACCTGTGGGGATTGTTTTGAAGACTAAAAGTCAGTGCCATCAGAGAAAATTCATATTCATTACTGCCAGTATCTTGGGGGCACTACCATCTTGGGATCACTTTAAAATAAATTCTCAACTTGAAGCATTTTAATCCAGCTAGCTAATATGGATTCAGGCTAAGCACAGTTACAAATTCTTAGGGGAATGTATTTTTCTCTTTTGCTAAGTGCCAGCCTCTGGGAAAGACAATTTTCTTTATAGTCCCATAAACGATATGAAGTATTTCTCTTTCCTCATGACACTGACAGCATGATCCTTCAATGTTGTAGATTACACATTTGTGTCCTATCAGACCTGCCACAGATCCTGAATATTCTTTCTTTTACTTTGGTGAAATGTGAGGTAGAAAGGTTGACCAAGTTCATCCAGCTTTGGAAATGCTCCCTCAAAGATCACCTTCGATAGCTCATGGATTTGTGTTTCCCTTGGCCTTTTGGCCTCTGAGTAAGAAATCTCAGTCTTCCAAGTGCTCCTTTTTACTGATACAGAAGGGTAAGGATGAAGATGAAGGCTTCTAAGTGTCTTGGCCAACGTCTAGGGAGCATAATATAAGTGCAAATCACCTCATCCTGTGTTTCTAAGGAAACAGAGCCTCAGACAAAATGCTGCATTTAACATGTTATTAATGTGCTTCAAAAACAAGACAGGAAAAGGAGAAATAACTAATGCCAAGGAAAATGGGAAGACAAATCCAAGGATGTGAACAGCAGGATTGTTCATTGCTAATGAGAAGGCAAAACTTGCAGACATTATGGAAGATAGCTTGACAGTTTGTTAGAAAACTAAACATAACTGTTAGCACCATTCAGAAACTGAGCTTCTTGTTATTTACCCACATGAACTGAGAGCTCATGTCCACATAAAAACCTACCTACTAGTATTTGTAACAGTTTCTTAATTTTACTAAAACTTGGAAGGAACCAACACATCCTTCAGTACATGAATGGATAAATAACTGTGGTACATCTACACAAGTGAAGTTATTCTGTGTGAAAATTAAGCAAGCAACCCAAGAAAAGACACACTAAGACTTAAAATGTACATTATTAAATGAAAGAAACTAGCCTTAAAAGGCTAGAGTTGGGGCTGGAGAGAGGCTCAGTAGTGAAGAGCACAGACTACGCTTGCAGGGGACCCAGGTTTGGTTCTCAGCACCAACATGCAGCTAACAACCACCCATAACTCCAGATCCAGGGAATTTGATTCCTTCTTCTGGCCTCTACAGGCACATGCATATGCTGCCCTTATATACATGCAGACAAAACACTCATACACATAAAATAAAAATAACAAATATTTATATTTTTAGAAAAGGCTACACACTTGACATTCAGAAAAGGCAAAACTATGAAGACAGCTTAAAATGTTCAGTTTTTCAAAGATTAGTGGCAAGGGAAGAAGGAGTAGGTGGAGCACAGAGGGTTTAAGTAGAAGAAAACTATTCTAGATGAATCACAATGGATGATACAAGTGATCGTGTGTTAGTTCAAATACACAGAATGTGCAAGATCAAGAGTAAACTATGGTCAGTCTTTTGGTAACAACAGTATGGCAGCAGGCTCATACACTGTAAGAAATGTTCCCCTTTAGTAGGGTTGTTAACAATGAGGAGGACATGCACACCTGGGTGACAGGTAGATGTGAAATCTGTCTTTTCCTCTCAATTTTTCTATGAAGTGAGAACAACTTTTAATATAAAAATTGTTGTATAGACTAGTAAACAAAATGAGGGTGTGTACTGCTGGACCTGCCCAGATTTGCAACAGCACATCTTCTCTGTGGTGAAAGAAATTCTAAATTCCATGAGGAAAAGAGACACTGCCTTCACTTTCACATTATTGGCTCCTGGCAGTTTTCTTGTGGTCACTGAGATGAACAGCTTGGGAATGTGAATGGTGATTAGATGCTTCACTGTCTGGAGAAGAGTTAGGAGGTTCATAGTGTCAATTTTGAGCTCAGGAAGAGTTGCCTATCAGGAATCAGCACCCACCTGCCAATCAAAGTGTGTTCATGGTACTGCTCCAGTATGAAGGCATCATTAAAAAATTTTCTCTATGTTTTTATGGCTCTGTGGTTGTGTCCATTATCCATTACACTTCCTTGAAATGCAAGACAGGCAACATTGTTTAGAAGTGAATGGGATAAAAATTTTTCATCTCTCGTAATATTGCTACAATTTTTAATGTAAACTGTGCTTGGAGACGAACTTTGTTTATCTTTATGCCTTTATCCCTCTAAAGGTCAGAGTCTAATTTTCATCTTTAGATGGTAAGAGAAAGAATGTATATAAAATTAATGGGTATTTTTCATAATTTATGTGTTATAGTTCTCCAGTTTTATATCATTAATCTATTAATATTTTTCTGGCTTAATTTTACCTCCATGCTCACTGATATTTTTGTAAATTTTTTCAATACTTTATGAAATGATATGTGTGTATAAAAGGACATACATACATACATAAAGAGATAATTTTTATTTTTAGGGTTGAAAAAGGATAACTGACCAATTTATCTTTTTTTCAACTGTATTATAAAAGAGTCACAACCAAGGAAAAATTTTGTAGAGATAGTGCTTCCCTATTTGCAAATTGTTATTTTAGGCAAGCCCGTTCATTTGACATTCACATAATATTTGCTAACAATATCAGGTTTTTTTCTCATTTTACTGACAAGTCAACTGAATATTAGAGAGCTTGAATAACTTCAAATTTAAACTTGATCCACAATGCAGTCTCATTTCAACACATAGTTTTCACCCTGAGAAAATAGATATCGCATACAAACCATTTGCAATCTGATGAATAACAGTATATTCTGTATCCAAGTAATTTGTGGGGTATGTGGATTTAACATTCTCTCTACCTTAAATATGAAAAGAAAATGTGAAAACCCTCATTCAGAGACTTTCTTTTAGGAAAAAGATTGTGATTTTATCATGCAAATAAAATACTGAGAAGTCATCCAGTGGATCCTTGGAGTCTTCTTGTCTTAATAAAATTGTACCCGTAACAAATCAATCATGGCTCCCTGGGAGGGATCTTAAGTATGGTCAGTTTAAAAACTGCTCAAGTACCTGCTCATGAAATGGAAATTGATTTGAAAGGGTCAGTTCCAAATTTAGATGGATATTTTATGGAACAATTAGATTTGAAGTACTTCTCACTAAAACTAAAGTGATTGATTGTATACACTTAATCAAAGATGCAGTTAAAGTCATGATTTGTTATCACAATTGAAAGGCTAAGCTGTGGTACAAAATGCACATTGCAGTGCACACTTTTGAAAACCTTTTATACTTTCTCACATGTGTACATGTGTATGTGCTCACATGTGCATGGCCATACATGTGTGAGTGTGAGTGCAGGGCAGATGTTGCTGTCCAATGTCTTCTTTGATTGTTCTCTACTTTATTTACTGAGGCAGGAACTCTTGCTGAGTCTGGCGTTTATAGATTCAACCAGTTCAGCTGGACAGCTTGTACTGGGGATCCCCTGTCTCCGCCTTCCATGGGCTGAGATTACAAGTGAACCAATAGGCACCCCCAGGATTTTAAGTGGGTGCTGGGGATCCGAACTCTAGCCTTCATACTGGATGGCCGGTTTTTATCCATTGATTCATCTCCCCAGCCCCAGTTATTAAGAGTCTATGTGACATCGTTTCCCCAAATTATTTAATGCTACCATGTAAAAGATGCTGAAGTATCTTTCCTTTGTGTAACTAAACCTGCTTAAACAGTGGCACCACTTACCCACAGGGAATTAGTAGCCAGTTTCTTAATACAATTACTTTATCAGGCTCTGTCTTTGGGACATTAGCCTCAATATTATATTTATTGCTATGTCATCTTATGCACCTGCCCTGTTCATCTGATTTAGTGTGATAGCAATCTTTATATGCTCAAAAACTCTGACAATACCCTTTGTTAAAGCTTCCTTGCTAATTGCTATGACAAACTACTCTGACAAAACATGTTGCAGAGAAAGGGTGTATTTTAGCTCAGAAGTCCAGGTTAGCATCGTAACAGAGTCAAGGCAGCAGAAACCTGAAGCACCAGTCACATCACATTCACACTCAAGAGCGGCGAAAACTGAATTAAGTCATGCATGCCAGTGCTCAGTGTCCCTCCTGCTCTTGTCCTCTTCTTTGATTTTTATTGTTACATATACATACATACATTTATAAACATCCATATGCAAAAGGCACTGAGTCCGTTTAAGCCCCAAACTATGTACTATCGAGCACCACTAAATGAACTCAGTGTTTTCTCCATTCTTACACAACCGGAGACCCAAACCCAGGGAATAGTGCTGCCCAATGCAGGCAGTGTCTTCCTACCTCAATTAACATAATCAAGACATGCTTTGAAACCAACCTGACTTAGACAATCCTTCACTGCCTTCACAGAGGATTCTAGATTTTGACAAGTTAGCAGTTAAAACTAAGTACCACACCCCTCTTGTTATCTGGCACTCTGGCCAGTGTGAGAGCCCAGGAATGAGGAGCAGCGGCACACAGTCCTTGCGGCTTTGGTACCACATAATGTAGTTTTATAATCTCTTCTTGGAACCACTAGTGGGTACTCTGTGCTAGATATCAATGCGGAGCTCACTCTGATGTTGCTTCCTCCAAAGTCGAGGATCTGCACCGTCTCTCTCTTCTTCCCCCAGTAGTCCTTCTAAAATGAGAGTCAAGGATGCTGTTTGAAATGAATGCCTTTTCTTTTGTTTATTGATTTTGTGTGCGGGTGTGTGTGTGTATTTCATACAGAATATCTCAGTCTTAATCATCTTTATACCCCCCTGCCAAGAACCCATATACCCTGTCATCCCTGTTACTGCCCACTGTGTTGTCAGTGCCCGCCCATGTACTCTGTCATCCCTGTTACTGCCCACTGTGTTGTCAGTGCCCACCCATATACTCTGTCATCCCTGTTACTGCCCACTGTGTTGTCAGTGCCCGCCCATATACTCTGTCATCCCTGTTACTGCCCACTGTGTTGTCAGTGCCCGCCCATATACTCTGTCATCCCTGTTACTGCCCACTGTGTTGTCAGTGCCCCCAACTGTTCCCCAGTGCAAGTCCATCTGCTGAGTCTAGTCAGCCTATCTAGAGTCCCTTGTTTTAGGAAGATCAGCTCTTCTTCATCTAGCAGCAATAGCCAACATTCCTTTAGATAAAATTGGTGTCTGCTGTTCATTATCCCAATTCTATACTGGGCTAGTGTCTGCCTGAGTTTGTATGGGACTTATGTATACTGATAACTATGCCATTGAATCATATGAGCAATGGAACATAGAACAGGGATAAAGAAGAGGACACTAATGAATCAGTTCTCAATAATGAAGCTCCCTCATGCAGCAGGGGGGCCAGGAACACAAAAGGTCACAAATGGCCAAAGTGTAGAGATCAAGAGTTTGCTAAATAATGGTTCGTGGACAGGACCCCTTTATTAAACTTCACCCACCCAAGGCTCAGAGACCATCATGGAAGAGGGGACAAATGCCTTATTTTACCCAACTTATAGGGAGATAA